CTAACTCCGACAGTAAGTCACCATATGAAATGTGGCATGGTGAAGCTAGTCATGCTAGACCGTATCCGTTTTTGAAACCGGCTTACTGTAGGTGGCAGAGACCGTCTAAACTGCTACCGAGGGGTGAGGCTTGCTGTTATGTCGGTCCTTCGAGAGACCACCCGCGTGACTGTCATAGAGTACTTACGAGGGTTGGAACTATTCAGGAAACGAGGAATGTGACATGGGAGGCGTTGCCGTCACAACTCCCTCCGCTGCAACCGTCTCTCTTGCTGATAGAGGTAGAAGAGGTGGGAGGGGAGAAACGTGACGACGATGTAGAAGTCGAGGTATGGCCGCTTGTAGGGAGAGGAGTTCCCCACATTCTTTTGCGACGTGATGTAGCGGTATCTGGTGGAATAATTGATGAGGTTAGTAGTGTTGATGCAGGCAGTGTAGGCCAGCCCTCCTCTGTGCCATCTTCGCCCGCGAACAACTTACCTAGTTGTGCGTCTCCCTATGCGTGTTCTCCAGCAGCCGAGTTCACGGATGAGGGAGGGCCGGAAACAGGGGAGGTAGAATCGGCGGGTCCGGGAGGGCAGGAGGTACAGTAGAGTCGGAGGATCAGGAAGGTTTGGATCAAGAGTTGGTTGAGCTTGCTAGTTACAACCCTGCTGTGAGTGAGAATGATGAAGTAAGAACAGGCAGAACCCGGGCGCAAACCCAGGCAGTAAATCAGCAAAGCGTATCCGGCCTCATGGCCACTCTAGGACCCATCTCCGCATCAGAAATAGGAGAGGAGCTCTTGGTGGAACAGAGAGCATCTGATGAAATGGAATTGCCAAAAGTGTTCATTCAGGACGTAGAGCCAGAATCTGGTAGCAATCAAGAAGCCCGCCGGTCGAAGTACGCCACGATTTGGGACAAGGCCACGTCTGTCTGCAGAATTTGAAGGATTGCTAAGGGCAGGAACGTTCGTGTTAGCAGCAAAGGCTCTAATAGGCTGTAACGTGATAGATGCTAGATGGATCTACAAATGAAAAGCAGATGAAATATGTAAGATAGTGAAGGCCAAGGCTAGGCTTGTAGCGAAGGGCTTCAAGCAGAAGCATGGTGTGGATTATCTTGAGACTTTCTCGCCTACTGCAAATGCTGCATCGATTCGTTTGTTGGTAGCATTGGCGTGCAAGTGTAGTTTGGAATTTCTCCACTTTGATATTGAGCAAGTGTTTGTTCAGTCGCTTTTGGATCACGAGGTGTTCATGAAGTTGCCTCCTGGCTGCGAGTTGATGTCAGGAAAGGTCGTCCGTGTAGACAAGAGTTTGTATGGACTGAGGCAGGCATGTAGAACATTTCACAAGAGACTTGTGTTGGACCTGAAGAGGATCGGTTTCGAACAGTCTCTGTCTGACCCCTTGTGTTCTTCGTTTTATGATGGGAGACGAGGTGATGGGTATGATTCCGGTTCATGTGGATGACATTCGGTATGCAGAAAACTGAGAGGCTCGCCAAGATGGTTGCGGAACCGCTAGGTGACTCTCTTCCAACCAAAGAATTTGCGTGAGGTCAAGTTCTTTGGTTTGTTGCGGATTCATTCGCGACCGCGAGGCTGGCACAATTGAGATTTCTCAAGAGAGTTACATCAGGAGCGTTGTCGAGAGATGCAATATTTTGTCGCATCAGCTCGATCCCTGCTTCCCCTGTTCGTGATTACAGGTCCGTGATGGAGGATGAGCGGCAGGGGATGTGCCGTTCCGAGAGGTGGGGAGCCTGATGTGGATCGCCAACCAGACGAGGCCCGACATCTCAAATGCTGTGCGGGTGGTGGCGAGGCGCTCTCACGAGCCAAAGAAAAACCACTGACTGGAAGGCGGCTCAGAAGATTCTAAATTATCTTCTGGAGGCGGTACATCTAACTTTGAAGTACAAGCAGGACACTATGGTAGACGTAGGCACGTTGGTGTACGTAGACGCTGGTTTTGCTAGCAAGGCCACTGACCGTAAATTAATTTCGGCAGCACTAGTTCTTGTAGCTGACTGTCTTGTTGCTTGGATTTCTAGGACGCAGAAATGTGTCACACTGTCAACGACTGAAGCAGAGTATGTTGCGATGGGTGATGGTGTAAAAGAGGCTCTGTTTGTCAATGGAATGCTAGAGTTATTTACGCCTAGTGAGAAACTTGGTAAGATTCAAGTACGCGAAGACAACGAGGGTGCGATTGCACTTGCTGAAAATCCACTTAGTTCAGGTAACAGTAAGCACATTGACGTAAGGCATCATTTCCTTAGGATTTTGACAGAAGAGGGAGTGTTGGCAATCAGTCATGTCTCCAGTGAAGGACAGCATGCGGACATCCTGACGAAGGCTTTGCCGAGAGATCTCTTTGATGTTCATCGTGATTTTGCTCTAGGTTCGAGATCTAAGTAGTAGATTTCTGAGTCTTGTTGTTTTTGTTTTTGTTTTTGTTTTTGTTTTTTGTTTTTGTTTTTCTGATATATCTTTGATCTGGTCGAGACAACAGCCCCGAGACAACAGCCCCAAGGGAGGGTGTTCGTGATAGGTGCTGCTGTATGTGTAGACAGAGAGCCGTAGAATATCTACGTTGATTGGACTGGACGGTTTGAATCACGGGACTGTGTCGTCCTGGATCGTTGAACGGCCACACAATTAGCAACAGTAGAACGTTCTTGGTAGACTGTAGGAATGTTCTTCTGTGGACTGTGCATTATTCCGAGTATTTGTTGGGGGTATGCTAGCTGTTCTGAGAATTGTGTTCTGGTTTTATGCGTTGAGGTGGCGTGAATGGCGATGGTGCAGCATGTGAGCATGTGGCATTTAAGGCTCTCTCTGCTTGCCTTGACACGTTTGATATCGTGTATTCTGCTGGGGCACATCTAATGAATGCGAACGAATCTCATACGATTTCCCAGCATTGCTCTTACCGTTTTTGGTTGACGTATGTACACCAGGGTGATGAAGCTGTAAGGAGCCTCTTTGAGATTCATTATTTCCCGAAAATCTACACAAAATGGAGCGATGCAGAGCGCGCATTGAACGCACATGGTCGCACACTGCTGGTCTACACAGGATGATTGCACATCGGCGCACCGAGCGCACTTTCTTCGTATTATGACTTGCAGGCAATAGGTCGCGTTGACAACTCACTATGCAAACACATGATTTCTTCTTTCCACTGAAATGAATGGATATGATGCCGAGGTTGCTGCCAAGCGGACGCTGAATTCGACTTTTCAAATAAATGGTTCGACAAGAAACAAGAGCGGTGAACAAAGGAAGACGGCCAACTGGCTGGTGAAGGTAGAGACGAGAGAGTAAACAGCGCGGCGCATAGTCGCATATGGCCACAATCTTGTCGCGTATGGTCCTGCGCGCGGAAGTCGGTGAAACTTGGCTAAGCAAGGTTTACTCAACATAAATGCATATGGTGGAACGTGCGCCGTACCTCTGTAGGCCGAACTCGCTATTGCTTTGATTCAAGCTGAGAAATATTTCTCCAACGAGAAAAAGTCCGGATTTGGATTCCTGCGAGACATACCTCTGTAGTTCCTTGCCACCAACCATTCCTTAAAAACACAAAACAGTGAAAAGTACGTCCGCAGCATTTCAGATTCGGATCCGACACCTGAAATGTTAAGCGGGTCTAATTTCAAGATAGCTCATAGCATTTCAGGGGTCGGATTTGCCCCCTGAAATGTTTGGCGGTTCTGTCTCATTTTTTTAGTCTGAACACGTTGACAACACACGCCACCCCTCGCGCTCTGAAGCATCAAGGACGTATCCGTTGTCATCATCCAAGGTCATCAGGTCTACAGCAGCACCGCTGCTGCGTGTCCGTGTCGTCGCTGCATGGTCGTACCTGCGAAGCATGGCCGCAGCAGAAAAGGAGGAAGCTGGTGTTTATCTCCAAACAAACTCCTCGGTCCCGATCAGAACATATAACATGTACCTACCCACCCTTCAACAACAGGGACGGATGATATGCTATCATTAACCTTGCGAACCCCGGCCCAGATATTCTCGCGCGCGAGTGTTGGGCTTACCGTCTATTCGTTCAACACACAAACAAAATACGTCGTGGGCCGCGTCTCGTCAATACAGTTAATAGTCCAAAGTGTGGGTATTAAGGACCACCCCCCTATAAGGGACCACTTTTTTCAACAAAAGATATCTTGCGGATACCATCGCGGAAAGCCTTTCTGTTTTTTTCTTCGTGTTGCTATGGACCTCACCTTTCATTTAAGCCTAAGTTTACTCAATTTGGTGAAGGACTTCGTTCTACACAGCATTCTACGCCAGGTGATGTACAGTATGCTTTCTTTTTTTTGGTGCTGTGTGGTGGCTCCGGCTAAGCCAGGTCATAATATTGACCTTAAAACGGCAGTTTTCCGTGAGCGCGTAGGCTACTTATTGGAATGGTAGTGTTTTGTTGCTCTCCATATTGTTGTTGTTGTTGTTTCTCACATTAGCTCTGTAGTCCACAAACNTTGCTATGGACCTCACCTTTCATTTAAGCCTAAGTTTACTCAATTTGGTGAAGGACTTCGTTCTACACAGCATTCTACGCCAGGTGATGTACAGTATGCTTTCTTTTTTTTGGTGCTGTGTGGTGGCTCCGGCTAAGCCAGGTCATAATATTGACCTTAAAACGGCAGTTTTCCGTGAGCGCGTAGGCTACTTATTGGAATGGTAGTGTTTTGTTGCTCTCCATATTGTTGTTGTTGTTGTTTCTCACATTAGCTCTGTAGTCCACAAACAATGAGGAGCCCGTGGTCTCAAAACCCGGCACATACGACGCCGCGAGAAAACAAAAAAAAAACAAAAAAGGGTACAAACCACTCGGAAAAAGAAAACAAAATGATAGAAAGAAAAGAACAGGTATCCCACCGACCGTTCGAGAAAAGAGCCCTCGGACACCGAAAACAAAAATAACAGAAAAATAAAGGAGGACGCTTCCCACACCCGCCGAACGAAAAAATCGAAGGGTAACGTACCAGCACCAGGCACTGCGCACCAGGGCATGGGAGTAACGGAGCAAACAGGGCAAAGAGGCGGCAGATGGGCAGACAGCCAGACGTACAAAAACAAAGGCAACAGCAAAGCGAGATCAAGGTACCCAACACAGCAGAGTAGGCAGGGAGGTCATGAAAAAAAGAAACACAGCACAGAGGCCGAAGGAAATAAAAAGGACATACATAAAGGAGTATAGCATACGGCAGGGAGGGAAACAGGGCGCAACAACATCAGCCGGGTACATAGTTCGCCACAAGCGCTGCCTCGGCCGCCCTACTCGCTTCTACAGCAGTGCCCGGTCGCCGTTTCTTCCCCCCCACCGCCGCTTCGCCAGTTCTCTTTCTCTTCGGTCCTGAGATGGTCGTACTCTCTGCTTCTGCTTCCCTCGCGCGCTGGCGCTTCGCGGACGCTTCCGCCTCCTGCCTGTGCCATTTCCTCATGAACCATGCCGCCCCGTCCTCGACCTTGTTGTACCACACCTCCGGGTCCTTGGCGCTCTCTTTCCATTTACCCCCTTCCATTTCATCACCCATGTTGAAGGCCACGAGGTCCTCTCCTAGACGAGACATCTTGTCGCTCTCCTGTCCGCCCCGGTATCCCACGCCCCCCGCCATCGCTCCTAACAGCATGCGCTTGGGGAGGCGGCTGTCCTCCATGCGCATAAC